AAAAACAAAAAAAAAAAAAAAAAAAAAAAAAAAAACCAAAAAACAAAACTTCCCAAGGCCTTTGTTGTTCCTTCTGAGAAGGAACTCCTTACACGTTAGTTTTATGACACAATGGTCTCCAGTTCTGTGCATTTTCCTACAAAGGGAAGTGTGTCATTCTTCTGGTGGCTGAATAACTCCACTGTAGGGCTGGAGAGGCTGGGTGGTTAAGATCTCATACTGCTCTAGCAGAGAACCTGAGTTACCCGCATCAGGTGGCTCACAACCATCTGTCAGCCCAGCTCCAGGGGACCCGGCACCCTCTTCTGGCACTGCACTCATGTACACAAACCCAGATGGACACCCACATATATGCATAAAGCTGTTTTAAACATTAAAAACACTGTGTCTATCAGCACATTTCCTTTATCTGGCGCTGGTACCCATTCTGTTCGCTTCACCAGCCTTTCTGTCTCCAGGAAGCTTTTCAGTTCCCACAGGGGCCACTGCGTTCAACTTAGAGCATTCGCTGCATGGGGTTGCTTTCTTTGGCATCCTCTGAATTACTAATGGTGGAATAAATTTGGGATTTGGAATGTGTTAGAAGGCTTGCTCGTTTTTATTTTTAAAAGAACTGGCTGTCTCCTGTCTCACACACACCTGAATTTTTTTTATTTTTTGAAGAAAAGGGAAATGCTTTTTCATGATTGGAATGGCAGGCATGTTCTTTCCACAGTGGTAAAGGATTAGAGATAGAAACCCATTTAATGAGAGAAATCTTCAGGTCCACCCCCGTGCACAGGCTCTTTCCGGGCCCCATGAAGAGACCTAGCAATGTGTTAAAATGTCACCTTTCTGTAAAGTTTGTACTAGCATGACATTTATCATAACCACAGTTAGATTGTTATTTCTTTATCACATTTCTCTTGGTCACACACTTACTCAGGCTGGGAGCTACTGGGTGGCTTTGGGCATCACTTGGATCTGGTTGGGGGGGTGAGGAGTTGGCGGTCTCAGTGGAGCATGGGGTTCCTGTAGTTTGGGGTTAGCAGAGTGAATATTTGCCATCATTTCTGTGGAGCTGTTATTACAAGGCAGTGTAGGAATGACTCCCAATAATCCTGCCACCCCTCGAGTGTGAACACTATGAGGTGACATAGGTATGGACTGGTGGTCCTGCTGTGGTAAGAGTGTGTGCCCAGCACCAAAATAATGCTGGTAGCAGCCCAGAGAGGAAGCTCTCCACAGAGAACTCTGATAGACCTTGTTAGACAAAGACGATGCTAAGCTCAGGATGTGAGTCTCAGAGATACCTAATCAAAATAAAAGTGTTCTTTGATCAGAAATACACTCAATAATGTAGCATACTCAATTATAAATAATGCTGTGAGCTTGTATAAGAATCCCACAAAAAAGTTCCTACAAGGCATAGATCTGGGACACAGTCACAAAGAATGGCTTCTCAGGCAGAGCTGTGCCTCTTACGAAGTCTGACAGTGAATCACAAAGCACTGACTTTACTGCTGGCTCATTCCCATAAATCAACATTCAGAAGTCAGAGGCACGAGGACCACTGCTAGCTTGGAGCCACCTTGGTCTTTGTAGTGAGTTCCTCCATACCCAGGGTTACACAGCGAGACTCTTGTCTCAAAAACAACAACAGAAGTTATACTAACTATGCTAGAAGAGTAAGCCGTCTTTCTGGAGAAAATTCTGTGAACTTGCTGTTATATGAACAGGCAATCAAAGAGAATGCAGCCAAAACACAAAGGAAAAAGCAGGGTTTGGGGATGCAAATGACAAAAAATCAGGTAATGTTTGAGATATTTGTCATCCTTAAAAATACAATTTTATACAATCTAGCATTTAAAATTATATTTATATCCATGCCTAATTTGCACTTATGAAACTATGTTCTATTGATCACAATCAGCCTTTAAAATCACATTCATGTTCTAGAAGACCTAGGTATGCCCCTAGTTACACATGACTTCTCTGATAACCATAGCAGAAGAATTACAGAAACCAAAAATATTGTGATAATATGTTATTGAATTTAAGGTTTAACTCTACAAATTAAAATGCAGGTTTTTCAAAATATGTGTGTAGGGAGCACATGTGTGTAGGAGGCATGCACATGTGTGTGTGTGTGTGTGTGTGTGTGTGTGTAGGCTATGTGTGTGTGTGTGTAGGGGGCATATGTACAAGGGACATGTGAAGTGTGTGCCTGTGTGTAGGAGGTGTGTATAGGGGCATGTGTATGTGTTTAGGGGGCACATGTGTGTGTAGGGTGTGTGTGTGTGAGTGTGTGTGTAGGGGGCATGTGTGTATGTAGGGTGTGTGTGTGTTGGGGGTATGAGTGTAGGGGGCATATGTGTGTGTAATGTGTGTGTAGGGTGTGTGTGTATAGGGGTCATGAGTGTGTGTGTGTGTGTGTGTGTGTGTGTGTAGAGGATGTGTGTGTCACAGTGAGCATGTAGAGGACAGAGGACAATCCCCACCTTGTCTGAGATACAGTCCTTGTTCATAGCCAGCTAGCTGGAGCATCCTGGGACCCTGTCCCCATTTGCTATCTTAAAGGAGGCACACCGGTTAGATATGCTGCTGCTCCAGCCTCTCATGGGCTCTGGGAGTCCAAGCTCAGGCTCTCATACTTGTGCACCAAGTCCTTTTCACACACAGGGCCTTCTGCTCTGCCCTAAAATTCAATTTTAATGAGGTATGGCTTATGCAGAGAAATATACAGACATGTATACATATCGACAACCTTTGACAAATGTGTAAACCTATGGAGGAGCTCTTAAATCAACAAAGAAAACATTTTCGTCATCTCCCAAAATTTCTTCCTGCTACTTTCTAGCAAATTCTTCCCCACCCCCGGCAGAAGTTATTCTGGTTTTCATCACCAGAGCTTAGCTTACCTGTCTGTGAAGTTCATATGAGAGCCTCAACAGCGTGACCGCCCTTTGTGTCCGAGTTCTTCACTATCTTACATGTGGCAGGCATTTCCCAGACCAGGTTGCTAGTAAACATGATCTCTGGGCCCATGAGGATGTTTCTGCAAGGGATTAGTGTTTAAACTGGTAGACTGAGTCAAAATCTGTCCTCACTGTGGTAGGCGGACATCATCCCTGCGTGAGGCTGGAGAGGACAACAATGCAGAGAAGGGTGCCTCTTTTCCTGAGCTAGGACAGCCACTGCTTCCTGTCCTTGGGTCTGCCATCTTCAGGCTTATAACACCGACTCTACCCACCCCCACCCAGATTTCCAAGCCTTTAGAATCAGATTAAATTAGAGCCAGAAGCTTTCCCAGGACCCCATCTTGTGGACATCAGATGGCAGGACTTCTCAGTCGCCATAATCATGTCAGCCAATTCCCCCAATAAATTCTGTCTCAGACTTTCCCTTTATATCTTTATCCACCTCAGCTATTTTCATCTATCTATCTCTCATCTATCTTCCATCTGCTACCTATTATCTGTCTCATCTGGCTGTATGCATGCATCACCTCTCCCCTTTTCTAGGTAACTGACTAATAAGTCTTTTAGAGATTTGTCTGTGCCATTGGAGACATAGTGAGTACCATATTGCTATTTCCCTATCTGCCCGATAAACATTTGCGTGATTTTTTTTAGGCTTTGTCTATTATGGATAAGTAAGCTATAAATATTTGTGCCCAAGTCATTTTGGGAAGATGGATTTTCATTTCTCTTGGGGACGTGCTGCAGAATTGCTACATCCTCTGGTAGGTAATTAGCTTCATAAAAACTATTGAAACGTTTTCCAAAGCAGCTGCACTGTTTTAACTTCTGATCAGTGGTTAATGAGGGGCCTGGCTATTTTATCTACTTACCGCATCCTAATAGGTGTGAGTGGTGGCCTCTGTGTGATGCCAGATTACATTTCCCTGAATAATAATGGTGCTGAGTGCCTTCCTACGAATTTAACGATTATCCCTCTTTTATGAAGTGTTTTCTCAAATAATTTACACATTTTAATTCGGATTATCTCTTACTAATGTTGCATGAATTCTGTAAATTAAATTCTGGATGTAATTCTTTAATTAGTCCATATCCATCCATCTGTGGATCTACCTATCTTCCTATTATCAATCATATCTTTTTACCCAATTTGTAGTCCGTCTTCCATGGCTTAATTTTTAAATTTTGGAATAGTATTAGAGCTGTAAAATTGCACCAATACAGAGTTACTCTGATATTACATCTTCACTTCACTTCTCTAAAAGTTAATACTTGACACTTTTCTAATGTGTGGAGGTTTCCACTTACCTCACCACTGGTTTCTAATCTAATTCTGTGGTGGCCAACAGCATGACCAGCAAGTTAGTCAGCATGTCCATTATCTCATATACTAAAGGTCTCTGTGTGTGTGTGGGGGGGGGGCTTAAGATCCACTCTCAGCAAATTTCTGATGTACAGTGGGGTATTATTCACTACAATAGTCATGCTGTTCACTGGGTCTCCAGAACTGTCTTCATATCCTTTGACCAACAGCGTCCCATGTCCCCACAATCTGCAGCCGTCACCCTGATCTCTGCTTCTGTGAGTTCATCACACACAGATTCTGTATATATGAGCACATGCAATGTTTAGACCTCTGTGTCTAGATTACTTCTCTTAGCATAATGTCCTCCGGGTAAACCTAGTGACAATGGCACGAGGCTCCCTTTCTCTTTTGGCTGAATAACAGTCATTGTATACCTCATTTTCACTCAGCCACTATGGACACGGGCTGAATCTGCATTGGACTGTGTTTAGGGGAGCTATGTGAGCATGGGAGTGCTAGCATCTCTCTGGCATACTGAGTTTGTTTCCCTGAGTGTGTAACCAAGGGTGGCATTGCTGGATCATAGGCACTCACTAATGCTGTCTTCAATTTTAAACTTCATAACTTTATTTTAATGTTTCCTGTCTGATTTTCAATTGCATTTAAATGTTCTTCTTCTCTTTGCTAGTTAAGTTTTTCTGGCTTTGTTTCTCCCACCAGCGTTCCTGGTTGGGCCTTGTTCACAGCGCATCTGGGTGTTCATTTGTCTCTTCCTCTCTCACACTGAGGGGAGGGGTGGCATGGGTGAGGGAAGCCGCCAATCTGTCCTCCCTACAAAAGCTCCCTTTCTTGTATCTGTGCTCCCCGCAGCCCCCCTTCTTTCAACAGGCTTTCTTAAAGCGTGTGAAGGTATTCTGAGTAGTTATTCCAAGAGGTGACTCTTCAAGAGGACAGATGCTGGGAGACCCCTCTTCTGTTACCTTGCTATTGACACCCTAGCCCCCAGCACTTGGTATCACCTTGCTTGGACTCGTGGAGCTCACCAGGGCACAGATCAATGCTTTGCACAAAACTCAAAAGCGTTCTCGTCAAGCCTCCTCTCCTCTCCCCTCATTCCCGTCAGGGGATAGGTGTGAGCGAAGGACCTGTGCTCCTCTGAGACTCTTCCCACAGTTTTCTTCCCTGTTCTTCAGATACACCTCTAAAAATCTATCAGTTGCTGACATTTTCCTGTTCAGTGCTGGGAACTGAACCTGGGGTCTTGAGCATGTGAGACACAAGCTCTACCATTGGGTCTTGAGTCTTGGCCTGCTGAGATCTTCCACATTGGAGGGAGGAAGAGGAACACGGTGAGGCAGGAAGGAAACAACTAATCCTTTGGTGTCTCTTTAATCCCAGCACTTGGGAGGCAGAGGCAGGCCGATCCGAGTGTGAGGCCAGCCTGGTCTACAGAGGGAGTTCTAGGACAGCTAGGGCTACACAGAGAAACCCTGTCTTGAAAAACATACAGATGAGTTTCTCATTTGAAACAATTTTTTTCCAAATTCAGTATTTTCTGATCTCATTCTCCCCATCTTGTTTGGCATGGCTTTGCGGCCTGTTATATTGTCACATATTCTCTGTTTTAGCTGTTGGGAATATCTTCCGGTGTCTCCTGAATCCACCTCCAGCTGATGTCCTCTCTGTGGTGAAGCTGTGTTTTTCTTTGAGAGGTGAGTGTTTCCTTACATATGCAGAAATGGCTGACACTTGCTTAGTAAATATTTTATTGTTCTGTTTCCCATGCACTTTGCTTTAATATGGAGTCTGTTTTCCTGGCTCTTTAAAATTGTCTTTTGGTATTTATAAAATTTTGAAAATGTATTCTTTATTGCCCTCGTGTGCGCATATACCCACATTTCCCCTCAGGACACGGTCACTTTGGAAAAGGGGCCGCCTAATCCAGCAAGGCTTCATCTGAACTAGTAAATCTACATGACTTATGCCCAAAGTCGGGTCACACTGGGAGACACTAGGAACTTACGTCAGCACGTGGCACAGCCTCTAACAAACTACCTTTATCTGTGGTGCTTGCCTCAGAATACACCTCTTCATTCTGCAGGCTGGCGAGGCTATGGTTTTACCCAAGATTTAGTCAATTCTACGTATGGATTGTGGCTTGCCCTGCTTGCCCTTGGGCTACCAGCCACCTAAATGGGAAACTCACACAGTGGTATTCTCCGTGCCAACTCTATCCCACGTTAGACTGTAGTTGCTCTCCTTTCAAAGCGTTTGGTATGGAATCATGGCTGCCACTTGCAGGAAGGCTTAGCACAAACCAGCTCTTCCCCCTCCACGACACACTCTTGCTTTAGGCTTCCCTGGTTAGTTGTCTGTCTAGCTTTGTCCTGAGCATTTGAATGTGTAATTCTACGTGCTTTCTTTTCATGCCTGTGAAGGATTCAGGCTGTTAATGTGTGTTAGCTTCTTCCTGCTTCATTTTGTGGAAGGGAATTTTTATTTTATGTGTATGTGTGTGTGTGTATGTATGTATGTATGTATGTATGTATGTATGTATGTATGTATGTATGTATGTTTGCAATTTTAGGTGTTTGCAGTTTCCCATTCATTTGAAAATGCTCTCTCCTTTTCCAGGCTCACTGGCCGGGAAAGGTTAAGTGGTTTGCCCCATTGCTGGCTCAAGAGCACCACCTTCTGTTGACTTGAAAGAATACTGGCATCTTTGATACATTTTTTGGGGGGGGGTAGTATCTATCTTTTGATTTTACTCTACTAGCAATTGCTTTTAATTTTTAAAAGAACCTTCATTGGCTGCTAATGTTTTATTTCTTGATCTGTGTGGTAACTGCAAGGGTGTGATCATTTTGTGGAGATTCAATGAGCTGCACACTTAACTATGTGTAAATTTATTTACATATGAATGCTATGCTTTAGTAAAAGGCTAAAAATGCACAAGTCCATAATCCTCCAATGGCTAATGGATGAAACATTATAATATTGAGGAAAGTTATCTTCTATATCCATCTTTTTGGCCAACCCTCCCCCTTTAAAGATAGGGTTTCACTGTGTGACCCCCGCTGGCCTGGAACTCACTCTGTAAACCAGGCTGGCCTCAAATTTACACAAATCTGCCTGCCTCTGCTTGGTGCCAGCATTAAAGGTATTGGTCACCATACCTAGCTTAATCTACTCATTTTCATCCATTTGTTACTCTAAAGGTTGTAATTTATACATATGTCTGATCACAGACATTTCCTTCATGCTTCTCATATTTACATTATCTGCTCATAGAATATGAAGCCAGGGATGGGAGAGGTTGGGAGTAGGAGGTAAGAACAAAGTACAGTGGTGTGTTCTTTGAGAATGCCTTAAAACAAACCCATTACTATTGTAGCTAGAAATATTAATTAAGAAGATGAAGGATGGAAAATACTACTGCATCCATCCTTAGAAAATAAAAGAAAGAGGGGGAGGAAGGAAGGAGGACGAGGAGGAGAGGACAATGACTCATGAATTAAATGAAAAAAGCCATACCGCTTCTTTTAATAGTTCGTCGTCTAATTTTTGTTGTGTACATAAAGTTAATTTTTTATATATTTAAAGATGTATTTTCAGTATTGGAGCTCATTTTTAGGCTCCTGTGTCTGCAGGCGGGGATGTGTGCATGAGTGCAGATGCCCACAGAGGTCAGAGCTGTCCTATCCCCTGGAACTGGAGTTACAGACAGTTGTGGCTTGACGTGGGTGCTGGAATCAAACTCTTCCTCCGGAAGAGCAGCCAGTGCTCCTGTCCACTGAGCCATCTCTGCAGCCCCGACATACAGCTTTAAATAAGCTCTCTTGTCATTTATCCTGTGGCTTTCACAGGAGGCACTGCACCCTGTCCATTTCCCTCCCTCCGTATCCACCCCTGCAACCTCCTCCTCAAAACAATAGAAAATGAAATTTAGGAAAAAAAAAAAAAGAAGAAAAACCAATCTTATCATGGAAGCATTTCAAAAAGAAATTTTTTTATGTGTTTGTATGCAGGAAGTAGAGGCCACAAGGTGGCGTTGGAGCCCCTGGAGTTGGAGTTATGGTGGTTGTGAGCGCCTGATGTTGTGGGTGCTGGGATTTGAACTCTGGTCCTCTGCCAGAACAATGAGCACTCTTAACTGATGAACCATCTCACCAGGCCCACGATAGAACATTTAAAAAATTATTTTTATATTTTTTTTCTGCAGAGCTGGAGATTAAACCTTGAACATCCAGGTAAGTGCTCACCACTAAGCTACATTCCCAATGAGACTTATTTTTGTTTGTTTTTGTTTTTTGAGACAGGGTTTCTCTGTGTAGCCTTGGCTGTCCTGGAACTCACTCTGTAGACCAGGCTGGTCTCGAACTCACAGAGATCCGCCTGCCTCTGCCTCCTGAGTGCTGGGACTAAAGTTGTGTGCCACCAACACCCAGCTTGTAAACCTTATTTTTCACTTGCATGCTCAGGGGATTCATTTTCTTTATACTTAAAATTAATAAAGACTCACTATTTCCCGATAACTTGCTTCATGGGAACTCTGCCACATATGGTTTCTGTCCCATCAAACACCATTCCTTTTTTTTTTACTCATAAGTCAGGATCACTGTCACACTCAGGGAGAAAGCCCTGGTAGTACTTCTAGCAACAATCTGTCTACTTGTGTGTAGCACATTTGACTGTAGGATGTCTCATCTTCGGCTTGGGCCCATTCATCTGTCGTCTGCAAAGAAACCTCCTCATTCGCAGGTCAACTTTCTCCCTCACAGCTGGGTCTCCACTAGCGTACCCCTCTAGAATTTCTAATCCTAAAGGAAACTCAGTCTCCCCTTTCAGTGTTTTCTCCATCCTATCATGGGTACCATGGGAGTGAAAGTGGTCATGAGGGTTCCCTTTGTGCTCTTCCTCTGTTTCCTCCCATCTCTCCTCAGTCCCGCTCGCCTGGCTTTTCCTTCCAGAATGTGATTGAGTCTTCTCAAGTCAAAGCTTCCCCTTTCGCCATGTGTCAGACACCATTCCTTCCCTGTGTCTCACCTCTCGAAAGCATTCAAGACACACTTGCTTGTGACTTCACTGGCCATATGCTTGCCTGCCTTTTTCTCAAATCTTTTTATCCTTTTACTATTTATATTCTCTTTAGATGATGGAATCTAGTCCCTTGACTTAAATATCACTTACATGCTAGTAACTTGCAAATAAATTCATCTCCAGGGGTCTGTTTAGAGGCATATGTGTGGGTGTCTAATGGATAACCAAAGCCAAACCTCATTCTCTCTCTTCAGCTCCATTTCTCATTTTCCTCTTTTTGGCACAGGACCCCATCAGTAATGTAGACACTCACCCGGGAGCCTCAGATGCATCTGTGACCTTTTCTTTTGATATCTGCTTTTCATATTCATTTTTAAATCAATTAACTGATATGTGAGTGTGGGCACACGTGTGCCACAGTGTGTGAGTGTGTGTGTGTGTGTGTGTGTGTGTGAGTGTGTGTGAGTGTGAGTGTGTGAGTGTGAGTGTGGGTGAGTGTGTGTGTGAGTGTGTTGTGTGTGAGTGTGTGAGTGTGTGTGTGAGTGTGTGTGAGTGTGTGTGTGTGAGAGTGTGTGTGAGTGTGAGTGTGTGAGTGTGAGTGTGGGTGAGTGTGTGTGTGAGTGTGTTGTGTGTGAGTGTGTGAGTGTGTGTGTGAGTGTGTGTGAGTGTGTGTGTGTGAGAGTGTGTGTGAGTGTGAGTGTGTGAGTGTGAGTGTGTGTGAGTGTGTGTGTGAGTGTGTTGTGTGTGAGTGTGTGAGTGTGTGTGTGAGTGTGTGTGTGAGTGTGTGTGTGTGTCTGTGTGTGTCTGTGTGTGTGTCTGTGTGTGAGTGTGTCTGTGTGTGAATGTGTGAGTGAGTGTGTGTGTGAGTGTGTGTGTATGAGTGTGTGTGT